GTGTGTGTGTGTGTGTGTGTGTGTGTGTGTGTGTTATCTGACACTGTGTCACACTGAAGAGGGAAAGTGTTGATGCAGTGGCCGACCTTTGAGTAAAGTTAGACAGGCGTGGAACCTCTGAGTGGAAGATGAGAGAAAAACAACCTGAGATCGGTTTGTGTCCAAAGGCTTCCAGTTGCAACAGACCAGAGGACATGAAACTCATCTAATCCCTGTGGATTAGAGATGCAGAAACCAAGCAGATCCAGGTGCTTGTCCAGGTGACTCGTGTCTGACGCCTGTGTTGATGTGATGTTCTTTATGACATGGATCCATTAAACATGTCACGTCCTGAAACATGATCTGTCTGACATCACGGGTTTGTTTAAACCAACAGAGGGAGCATGTGCAGAGGTGATGGGATGTGACAGGAGCATTATTTCTACAGGGAGCAGCCACCTGGGGGCACTCCTCTCTGACATGAGTCATTTTTAACCTGATGCAATAAAAGCTTCTTCAGAGCTCTCTGACTTTCAGTGCAGCAGCTTCGAGGGCAGGCCCATTAAAAACTTACTGCAGGAGGATTTCACTTATTTGTAGATGAGGACCAGGGGTCTCCAACCAGCAGCTCCTGAGCTCATTGAAAGTAGCTCTGTAGCTTTTGGACAATTTAATTTCATGAAAGTAGCTCTTAAGGTAAAAAATGGTTGGAGACCCCTGATGTGTGATGAATAAAAATATATAATGACATCAGAGGCGGAGCTAGACTTTTTTTTTTTTTGCAAGGAGTGGCACTGGGGTAGCCTGGTCCTTGTCTTCCACTCAATTCTAGTTTCCCTTCACTGCTCCGTCTGACATTTCTCCCATAGACAAGGATTTCTGCAGGAGAAATAAAAAAAATTAATTTAAAAAAACTTACGTCAGGACCAATCAAATCTTATGGACATCTACAGCTCCTCACTCACTCTCTCTCACACTCTCACTCTCTCACTCACTCTCTCTTTCTCTCACTCTGTCTCTGACACTCTCTCTCGCTCTCACTCTATCACTCTCTCTCTCTCTCTCTCCCACTCTATCACTCTCTCTCTCTCTCTCTCCCACTCTCTCACTCTCTCTCTCTCACTCACTCTCTCACTCTCTTTCTCTCACTCTCTTTCTCTCACACTCTCTCTCTGACACTCTGACACTCTCTCTCACTCTCACTCTCTCTCTCACTCTCTTTCTCTCACTCTCTCTCACACTCTCTCTCTGACACTCTCTCTCTGACACTCTCTCGCTCTCTCTCTCACTGTATCACTCTACCACTCTCTCTCTCTCTGTCACTCTCTCTCACTCTCACTCTCTTTCTCTCAACTCTCTTTCACACACTCTCTCTGATACTCACTCTCTCACTCTCTCACTCCCTCACTCTCTCTTGCTCTCACTCTATCACTCTCTCTCTCTCACTCACTCTATCACTCTCTCTCTC